ATACTCTTTACAAACCCTTGAAGTTAAAAATACACAAAAATTGTAGGAGATTATAATGGCCAGTGATTGTAGTTCTAACAGAAATAGAACTAAAGATAAAAATTAAAAAGTTAGTTTAACTTCTTAATTTTTATCTTTATTTTTATCTTATTCTTAATTTTTATTTTAATTTTATCTATATTTACCATCTGTTTTGCCAAAACTTTTGGCTGTTCATTTTATATGATTGCAAAAACGCGATTCTATTATTATTATTATTATTATTATTATTATTATTATTATTATTATTATTATTATTATTATTATTATTATTATTATTATTATTATTATTATTCTAATTGTTTAACAGTTAGAATAACCAATCGCGTTTTTGCAATTACATAAAATAAACAATCGAAATGGCTGACGGAACCACATTATTTCAGTACCGAAACATCGTTATTTATAAACATTTTTAAGCAAGTTTCTAAGCAAATGATTTAAGTTTTTAGTTATAGAATGTTTAAATGGACTGCTTTTAAGTTCGAAAAAAAAATTTATGGAACACAACATAAGTTCTTAGATGACCTTAAGGGTACCCGTGTACTAACATCTGCTAATCGGTAATCGGACATCATTGTAAATTAGAGTAATTTAGCCGGTTTACAGTGGACCAGACTGCACTTTTACTGGAAAAAACTAATAACTTGTGCTGTAAAAATATTTTAGGACCATTTTTGCACTGTTTACTAATTTTTAATTGTAGGTTGCTATGGATACCATTATTGCGTAGCAATATATATTATTAACTATATATATATATATATATATATATATATATATATATATATATTATATATATATATATATATATATATATATATATATATATATATATATATATATATATATATATATATATATATATATTAACTAATTAAATAATATAATATATATTAACTTTTTAGCAATAATATATATTATAATAAATATAAACTGGACAAAATTAATAACTTTATTGGATTACTCCTATAAGCAGCAAAACTTATATCAGATATATTACTGAAAATGCATCATAGATAACGTTTTATATCAACTTGTTGTAGATAGTAGAAAAACAAATTAGTTATTAGTGAAATTTCTAAATTGCTTTCTCCAGAAACTGTGCAACCTTACTTAAAGACAGCCCCTAAGAAAGTAAATTCAGTTGGAATAAAATGTTGCTATTTTAATAGATTCTCCGTGATATTATACTAATTAAAAAAAGAACAAGTCAAAGAGCTTAAAGTAGTTGAAAAAACAAAAACAAATAAATTATCTGCATGTCAACTTTGGGCGATCTTAGTAATTAAGTCACTCTGTTACGTATCATAATAAAGATACAAATGAAAAAAAAATTTAAGAAGGAGAAAAGTGTAAAGATAGAATACCATTATGCTTACCTCGTATGTTTTCTAAAAGTCTATTTGAAGAATTATAATTTCAATGCCAAGGTTACAAGCAATTGTCTCAAGCAAAATGTAATTCACATACTTTTCAAAGCAGAATGTGAATCACATTTTTTGATTCACATTCTGTTAAAATTTGTATTAACTCTACTGCGGTGCTCTTTGATAAGACCGTATGAAATTCTCGGAGAACCTTAAATGCCACACAAAAAAAAATCTGAGAAATGAAAATTGCAGACAAACGTTCATTTTTCTGTAAAGTATGTAAAGATGAATGCAGGTTTTATAACAGAGTTCATAATAGAAGTTAAAGTTTTTATGGGTTTAACTTTACCATGTATATGCATTAGTTTATTTACTGTTCAACCTGCCCCACATAGCGGGTCACCTTACCCTGCCTGGTAAGCACTTTAGTAAACGTTAGGCAACATTTAGTCAAACAAATCCGAAATATATTTTTTTTAAACTGCTTTTTAGCAGATTAAAATATGTTGCTAATATTGTAAAAATTGTCTAAATCCGACATATTGTTTTATTGTGAGACTAAACATACCAAAAATTACTCAACTAACCCCACCCTTCTATAGTGAAAAAAAAAAACTTGTATTTAGTTTATCTATAAACTATTTAAGGATATGCAAACACGGATTTAAAAACATATTCACCAGTCGATGAATCATCAACTATTAATCAATCATATTAATCACTTTGATGTTAAATTCTGACGGATGGAAATCTAAATATTATTTAATACTAAGTCAATATTTTATTTTTAACTAGGTCAACAAATATTTTTTTAACTTAACAATTTATATAATCGCCTAAGCAACAAACCACATATTGAATCACATGCTTAGATCGCATTCGCGCGTTAATTAATTTTGTTACTACTATAGTAAGTATTTTTAAACACATAATTTTATTATTTTTCTGATGATATAACCCTAGCGAACTAACTTTGTGCTAGGCAAGCATGACTGCGCATAAAAGTGCATAAATACTCATAAAAGATTACAAACTCGCATGAAATTAATTACTGTTTAAATTTGCACAAAAAAAATATAAATAAAAACCTTATTTAGCGATATTGTGACATCATTATCTCTTGTCTTTGAACAGTAGATAAACACTTGAGACGAATAATAACATTTCTTATCAAAAACATAAGATTCGACATTTTTTAAAGGGCACTGTGTTATCGATTTTTCGTTTCCATCACAATGAACCATAAAATGATGAAATTTAGATTGCTGAACATTATCGTAGCTGTTGTAAAAAAAAGTTCTTTAAACTCTAAGAAAACGAAGTCAACATTTTTTTAGTATTCAAAATTTCTTTTTAAATATTTTTTCGCTAAACAAAGAGCGTAAGAAAAATTAAAAACGTAATAATAAGAAAATACGTTTAGCGTAACAACAAATGTCCATTTAAATATATTTTAACAAAATCTTGAAGAAAAAAAATTAAATCGGCATAATTTATACTTAAAAAGAGAGTGATGGAGAAAACCATCCTCTTTTATTTTCTAGCGAAACTAAATTATACTTTGTAATGGCTCCAATGGGATATTCAACCCTTAAATCTGTATGTGTATATGTATATGCACATTATATATTATATATATATATAATATATATATATATATATATATATATATATATATATATATATATATATATATATATATATATATATATATATATATATATATATATATATATATATATATATATAGTATATATATATATATATATATATATATATATATATATATATATATATATATATATATATATATATATATATATATATATATATATATATATATATATATATATATATATATATATATATATTATAGATTTTCCTGGTGATTGTCAAAAACTTTTAAAACAGCTTTATGACAAAGAAACTGTTTTCTTGGTTTATTTGTATAAATAAATTTTTAGGCTCTCTTAAAATGTAATGTCTTTACTCTCAAGTTACTTTCAGTTATCGCACAGAAATTAATAGCAATAGATAAAATGCAAAAGTCTGGATTACAGCAAAGAAAACCTCGTTGAGAAAAGATAAAAGAATTTTTTGTGCATAGTTAAAATAAAAATAAAAGATCATCAAAAGGTATTGTGCAGGATTTCAAATCGAAGGTTTAAGAAACTTTGCCTCTCCTCTAAATCTTTTTTTTTACTAAACCTTGTTAATGATTTTATTATATATGAGGTATATGCACATTAAGCTCATTCTTTAATGATTTTATATTAACCACTTCTATTATACTCTGTTTTTAAAAGAATAATAATTAAGATTCTATAACATCTCTACTTTTCTAGAAGCCCATCTTGTATTGCTAAGATTTTCAGATCTAAGGCAAACCTGTCCAAACTTTAAAATTTTTTGATCAATGCTGAACTAAGAAAACTGCTATTAAAAACCATATTTATGGTTTTTAAATTTTCCAACGTCAAAGACTTACTATAGTCATTTTAAATGTCTTTACTGAGATAGGCGGCGCTGTGTGTTAACTTTGACTGACCTTCTGCTTTAATACGCTGTTATAGTTTGCAATGTTTTACCAGTTCAAAAAATTCACTTTATTATTATTTTTGGGTGACTTTTTTTATCAACGACATTGATATTTTTGATACAACTATTTGTATTATTCCATCGAACTCAATCATCAATTTTTGAACTTAAGGCGTTATTATTACGGTTATTCAATTCAATGGCTATCGAAGAGGAAATAAACTCAGAAAAGGTTTGGTTGGCCTGCAATAACCTTTGCGGACCATTCGAAGCTATGTGTGATTATTGCCGAATTACTAATTTTATGATATTTTGCAGTTTCTATAGTATAACAGATTTGAAAAAAAGTTGAAAACTCCTATATCTTTTGTGTTGTCTTTTCAAACGCTATGCGTCTTTTATTTTTTTATTTTGGTTGTCAGGTTTTCATATTTTTGCACCACCAGTTCTCAATATTTTAAAAAAGGAGACCGTTCTTTTGTTAATTTTAACTGATTCCTACTTTTATAAAACGTCTGCTTTTTTAAAGTGGTTAGAGTCTCGTTTTACAATTAAAAATTAGATTGCATAGCATTACTAACTATACGTTAGAAACTTGTTTTTATAGCTATTCAGAAATTAGTGTGCCACCGTGATCGACATCAGGTAGGGTGGTAGTAGTTATAGAGGGTCGTTGATCGACATGAGGTAGGGTGGTAGTAGTTGTAGAGGGTCGTTGTGGTGATTTAGTTAAAATAAATATACTTTTTTTACTTGGAGAATTTTTTTAAACATAAAACAGTTTTTTTTTAATAACTAGTTAAAATCTAATGCAAATCAATGAATAGAAATTTATTAAAATGTTATCGGGTGTAGCTTTTGACTTACTAAATTATATATCGAGGTGCGACTTTTGACTTAGTTGTGTATAGCCATTATATTTTTAACTACGTGGATTATGATAAGTTAGTTAAAATGTTAGCATTGCAATTGTCATACAAATTAATATTAAATAAAATCTTACCTGGTTCTATTTCTAAGAACTGCTTTTGCAAAACCAAGTTCTCTGCACACAACCTTTGAGTTTCTGAAATCCCAAAACGTGTCACATAAGTATTTCCATTCTCGATGAAAGTTAAATTGCAAATATCCTTCGTGGTAACCAGCAGAACCTTCACTGTTCACCAGTCGGATATATAAGAATGAACCGAAAGAAAATTGTCCACTGAGAAACACGATAAAGAGGTATGTATGCATTGCTATTTGTAAAGGGTTTGCACTATAAAAATTTCACACAAGATATAAAACGTATATCTAACAATTAATTACCACCGCCACAACCGCAGTAGAATACAGATTAAATTGAATCTAGCCAAATGTCATATAAATATATATTTTTGAAATACTGCTTTTTAAAATACATTAGTTAAAGGTCTTTATTGTAGATAATGTAAACTAAATTGCCCGAATACTTAGCATGCTCGACATAACTTAAAATCTAAATTAGATTTAAAAAGTGTTGTTTTATTCTCGACTTAGTCACACTTTGTAACATAGCGGTTTTCGTTTTATTGTCTACTGTTCGTTTTATTGTTACTGCGCATTAATTTTGAAAACTGATAAATACTTCTTAATCAATTTTAAATAAAATAATAGTTATTCATAATAGCGCTTATTAAATGACTCTTACTCCAAATATTGTGATAACCAAAAAGCTCTTAAAATTTGAATAAATAAAATCAAACAAGTATTAAAACAAATATCTTCAGATTGGCATTAAAATGTAAACAGTTATTTTCGTAAAATGAATAACGTTTGATAATAAATGAAGTTATTTAATGTTTATATTTTTTAAATCTTTATCAAACGGTTATCATAACAAACTTAACAAAAGTTTTTATAACATTCAAACGCCATAAAACCATAAAAGACTATTCATAACAAAGTTTCTCGTCATCTCGTTTGTTAAATTTCTTATAAAATAAAGTTTTTTCTAAAGTTTAACACGCAATGTAAACAAAATTAGGTATTTTCTTTTCATTGTACTCAGAGCTGATATAAAACTATTGTTAAGTTTAAGACTTTGAAAACATGCTCGTAAAGTTTGCTGTGGAGAGAAACGCATCAAAATGGCGTTTACGAGTATGATTTTATCTGCAATTTTAATTGAGCAGTACTGCTCAATTATAATATAGAGAATAACTAGTTATTCTCGATTTCAAACCAATTAAGACCACTGTGCCACGGCTGCTTTTATATACAAAATTTGTTTAAATAAATAATGCACAACATGAAAGTTTTGTTAATTATGCAAAGATAATAAAAAACAGCCGTAGCGCAATAGTTAGAGTTCTGACTCAGAATCGAGTATTAACACTCGATTCTGAGTCAGATTAACACTCGATTCTGAGACGGCTCTAGCCAGATAAGTAACATTGGTAAAAAAAGAAGGCGTGAACTTCCTGATTAAACAGAAAACTATAAACAGCGGTGGCGCAGTGGTCAGATAGGCCTTTTTGAAGCACCTAAATACCTAAAAAAAAAAGTTCATTAAGTCTTTTAATTATTAGAAGCACCTTAATAATTAAACATCAAAAAAATATTTGAAACAAAATAAATGACGCTCGGATTTAGTGTTTTTTTTTTTTTTTTTTTTTTTGTCTACATACATTTCGGAAAGTGAAGTTTTTCTTTTAGATTAATCACTTTCTCAAATTATTATTAGCACTGTGGTAAATTACAATTTATTAACTATATATTAGTATATTGTTAAAAAACCGTTAATTTTATTTATTTTCTTTCAATTATTATTGATTTAATAATTATTTGCCTAACTTTGTTTATAAAAAGAGTAACAGTACACGTATATGTTTTCATAATACAAGTTAAATTTTTCTTATTCTAAAGGATTTTTATTCATCTTTCATAATACAAAGTACGTACAGCAAACGTCACGTCGTACCAAAGTACGTACAACAAACGTCACGTCGTACCAAAGTACGGGGCGCAATGATAAAACAAACATTGTCTTCTTTTTGCTCCGGTGCATTATGCGTCACTAAGCGGAAATAAGAAATTACATTTCTTAAAATTTTTTTCTATGTCAAAGTTTAAAATACTTTTTTGGGGAATTAGGTTAGTAGTTCCATATTAGAAATAAATTATTTTAAAATTTTTAAGAGGGGAAAATAAATCAGTTGTTTTTTGATAAATTTTTGAATTGCTTATGATAAAAATCAAGCATCTGCATTATACTTATATGTTTTTAATTTAATGATATATTAGATTTAATTAAAATATAAAAAGTAAAAAAAAAAATTTTCACAATAATTTTTTCTTGTTTAATACATTTTCTAATTTTAATTCATTTTATGCAGCAAATAAACTTTTTTCAATAAAAATTTTTTGGCCCTTCTGTAGTAAAGTAGTACCTTTTTACGTGTGTGAACTGTTTAGAGAATTGACTCAGAATATTCTCCTATATCCTTTATCATTTCTAGTTTTAAAATACAAAGTGATATAATGAATAAACATTTTTATATAAGCGTTGTTTTTATATAAAGAAAGCGTTCGGTTTACAGCGGTAAACTAAGTTAATCCGGAAACAAACAAAAAAAACTCCGTATTTCTAAATATTTCAGTATGTACAAAAATAAAAGCGGGTTTAATAAAATTTATTATTATTATTTATTATTTATTTTAGGTGCCCCAAGAAGTCCTTACGGTCTTATCACAAGATCACCGCAGAAGTGCATTTGAAAGGAAGTTCGGGCCTCTTTCCTTACCGAAGTTATAAAACTTGCCTGGAGGTGGCTTTGAACTACAAACCTCTGGCTTCCGAAGCAAGCGCGCTAACCACTGCGCTACGGCTGTTTAACTTAATTTATTAAAATTTACAAATTATTAATGAAGAGCAGCAAGCCAAGCCGCTCTGTCATGAAAACACAGTCTAGCTTTCATATATAAATAGTTATAAAAATATCATAAATAATTCAAATTATAGTTAAGTGCTATAATAATAATAGTTCAAGTTTGAAGTTATTCATATTTGTTGAATTTACCGCGTTTTAAGTTAAAGTGTTCCATGCTCGGTGTAGTTAAGGCACTTTTAAAATATTATAGCGTCTGTATGATATTTTGTTGACTACGACATATTTCCGTTAAATGTTCTGGTCTATGAATTATAAAAAGACGAAAAGTATTAAAATGACAAATTTTGCGAAATCATAAAATATAAATGTTTGAAGCGGAAAAATCCAGACCGAAGATTCTTATTTTTTAAAAAAAAATTATCTTAAAATCATAATCGCTCGTTCAAATTTGAATAAGATTTTATATTAATACGTTTTTTAGGTAAAATGAACATTATAGTTTAAGAATATGATCTGTTCTGATCATTTAATGGTAATTTTCCATAATTACAAGCTCTTTCTTGGTCAGAATTCTAGTATTTTTTGTGAAATATGATAGAAATATTGTATTTTGACAACTATATAGATAACTATATATATATATATACTATATATCACTATATATATACTATATATATATACTATATATCAACTATATATCAGAACCGATTAGAACTAGGATCAGTAGTAAATTAACAAACTTTTTCAAAAACTTTTAACTAAATTCATGTTAATGCTGATGAGCAGAATTAATCTAAAGACTCCAGAATAGTGTTCTTTAGATTCACTATTACGGGTTGTAAAAAGGTTTTGAAAATTATATATAAAAAAGAAAAGTTTCTTTAAATATTTTAAAAACCTTAAGTAAAAAAATTATAACATTTAAACATCTAGTTTGGACATAATATGATGACAAAACCATGCTAATTCCAAATAAAAGTATTCGAATATTTTGTAAATCGTCTTAACTACACCGAGTGGTTTGACCACACGGTTGGAAAAGAAATTGTTTCTTTCCACGCAGTTTCGAATAAGTTGTGCTTTAAGTTGTTTGGTGTGTCTGCGAGCCACTGTGGAAAATAGTACTACAAAAACGTACCATTAATGTTTTTTACTCAAATTTCAATTTCACTACTGAAATTATATTTTAATTTTTTTAATAGTTAATCTTTACTATAATGCAGGAATTTCAGCTAATTTTATGTAAAAAGATAATTTTTGAAGCTCTACTGTTTCATATTTTTGTAAATGTTCAATTTAAACTTATTTGCTTCATTATTTTAAAAGTTATTTTGTATAAAACTTAGCATCATGTTATGGAGATTTTAGAACAAATTCATACTTTTATTTATATGATTTTGTTTACTAATAATTAATTGAACTATAAAATGAGCTAGAAAGTAAAAACTCTTATAGTTCACCGATATTTTTGGCAGTCACCCACGCTACCCCACGCTTCATTTTGATAACTGATTTGTAGCTTAGGTGTTTATAAAAATAATTTATTAAAAATCAGGTACGGACACATGCGGTTTCCGAAAATTATTGATAAAAAAGTGATAGAAGTCAGAAAACAGAAAACCGCTTTTTATCGTGTTTCAGACTGTATCTGTTTATAACAATAGTTTTACGTAACTTTTTTCAGGGGTGTGGAGTCGTAAAAAAAAATTACCGATTCCGATCGTTGAAATTTTCAGAGTACGACTCCGACTCCAACTCCGACTCCAATGCAAAATTTTTGAAAAATTCTTTGAATTCTTAAAAAAATATTCGCAATAAGTTAAAATTTTTTTTTTGCCAAATTTATGAATAATTAAATATTTTGTGCATGCACGTGCAAAACCGAGAAGTTTTACTATTGGAGTCGGAGACTTCGACTCCACAGCCCTGGTTTTTTTTGCCAATTTTTTATTGAGAATTAATTTTGATGGGCATGCATTCTATTATTTCTGCATTTTGTGATGATTTTTGAACACTGCATCATTTAAAAAATAATATATAAAGAGTTGAAAAATTTATATCACTGCAACAAAAATACAGTAGATATTAATTATTACTTGCGTTACTTTTTAAAATTACAACTTGTAAGTGTTTGAAACGTATATTGTTATCTTCCTATATTGATGGAGGAAGGTTAATTTAGACACTATCAAAAATTTTAAAAGAAAATTATCAATTTTCTTAGGAGAGCTTGTGTTTTATAGTTAGTGATATTCAAAGACACATTATTTCGCCGTTTAACAAACAATGGACAAGGGCGTCACGGAAAGTGGAAGCGTTTTCATCTAACAACAGTAATTGGTTAGATTCTGAATATAGTGTATTTTTACCAAAACTGAAAAACGCAGTAACAGACCCCACGCCATCTACATGATTTGAAAAACGATGAAGACTATGCATTTCTTATGGATTTTTGTCAGAGACCAGTTAAAAAAGAAAAAAATTCCATATTAGTTAAGGAAATTGGATTTAAGCACATCTTTGATGCATATCTTCAGGCATTTTTTATTTATTTATTTGTTTATTTCGTCATATATAAGCATGTTCTCGTTTCCAAGTTTAATAAAATAAATCAAAATATAAAGAATGACAGGAGCAAGTAGAAGACATAAGTCTTGTCGTCAAGCCTCTTCGATTTGCGCGATATATTTTTTACAAAGTATCCATAATATATAAAATATAATAATTTATATTCACTATATAATTAATTAAATAAATAAAGTAAAAAAATTTAAAAGATTAGCTTTACAAGTTTTTTCAACAAAAAAATAAATAATCATTTTATATAGCAAGTTAAAAATGC